ATTCAATAAGTAATGGAAGGCTATAATTCAAAGAAACCTGGATAGAAAATAATGGTGAACTGAGTTAGGATAAAGAAAGACAGCAGTGGGGGCCGGGCGCGGTGGCTCACGCCTGTAATCCCAGCACTTTGGGAGGCCAAGGTGGGTGGATCATGAGGTCAAGAGATCAAGACCATCTTGGTCAACATGGTGAAACCCCGCCTCTACTAAAAATACAAAAAATTAACTCGGCATGGTGGCGCGTGCCTGTAATCCCAGCTACTCAGGAGGCTGAGGCAGGAGAATTGCCAGAACCCAGGAGGCCGAGGTTGTGGTGAGCCGAGATCGTGCCATTGCACTCCAGCCTGGGAACAAGAGCGAAACTCCGTCTCAAAAAAAAAAAAAAAAAAAAAAGAAAAGAAAGAAAGAAAGACAGTAGTGAAAAGATACATTGTGGACACAGATTTTCCTTAACTTGATGGACTGGAGAGAGGGATAGGAGTTGTGGTCAAAATAACTGTGAGGTGTGCATCACCTTAGTGAAGATTCATAAGCCAGTTTGATGAAAAAGTTGAAGAAGCAGATATAGATGATTCACAGGATTCTGAAAGAGAGAGATGTGTGCAAAGATTGAGGGGTTATCTTTGTTAAGAGAGACTGCTGTTCTACAGAAGCAAAAAATTAAGCATAATTGTAATCAAAGAAGAAGCCACTAGAAAGAATGGAAATACAGATAAGAAATGAAAACTATTAAAGCAACTAATAAATATAATTAATAGATATATTATCATTTATCATAATCAAACATTCTAAACTTTCATTTAAATAATAAGAAATAAGTCTCAAAAATACACACACAGAGAGGGAAAAGAGAGAAAGGTGTTTGAAAACAATTGACCCTTTCTCTTCATTACCACTTTGCATATATACTATACATAAATACATACACATTTTATATTTGTAAATAAATTACCTCCTTTTCAATTACACATTTTTAGAGATGAATATAGTAACTGGTCCTGAGCTTCAAGCAAGCAAGTAGGAAGGCCAGTTTCAAAACAGGTATTCTAGCTTCTAGTCCAGTGCTCTTTCTTCTTACCCACGTAGGCTCCCATCTGAACATAGCATTTTGTCCAGAAAGTCTGGGCAATTGTGAAGCCACGTGTTACTCAATAATAAATCCATCTTGAAAATTCACCTATCCTTATGATGAGTTTAATACGTTTTGCATTGCTAGATTTTTTTCAATTTTATTTTTGATTTAAAAATAGTTATTTAGAGATGTTGTATTTAAGGTGTCCATGTCAATTTATACAAATGTTGTTCTATATATTTTAGGCAGAAACAATTGAGCCATTGGCAAGGGGCATGAATTTGAGGTCTACATTTTCTGACCTAGTGACAGTGATACGTTTTTGATTAATAGTCTTTCTGGCAAGAATGAAACTTATAGACAATGGCCAAGGGACATGAGAAAGCAAAATAGCAGGTCTTCCATGAATTTGGTCTTATGCCACAAGCGTATTAGAACCAAACGGGAATTTGTCCACAAAGATCGATTCTCTTGTTTTACAGTTGAGAAGACTATAGTTAGAAAACATGAACAGAATTGCTGCAAGTCATTGTTTAGTGGAAGTCAGAACCACTAATGGAACCCAACTCTTGGTTAATCAGTCCATGGCTGTTTATCCTCAACCCTTAGTGCTGCTCTGAAATCAACGAAGTTTTGTGTTTTTAGGCAAACCATAGTTTTGATGCTATTGAAGTATAAATATTTGTTGAGAATGAATGAGGATGTTTCACAAGAAGCTTCAATAATTCCGCTGTAAGTATTTTTAAAGTGCCTATGAAGCAGTCTTCTCTATTGGAATCTTATGATCCAGTAGAGAATCATAAATCAGAATAAATATTTGTTGAGAATGAATGAGATGTTTCACAAGAAGCTTCAGTAATTCATTTATAAGTATTCTTAAAGTGTCTATGAGGCAATCTTCTCTGGAATCTTATGATTCCAGTAGAGAATCATAAGAAAAATGAAATAAACCATATAATGAAAACTATAATTCTCAAAATTTAACTAGATGTATTTTTAGTTCCAGTCTGACCTCCAGTCCTAGACCTACCATTGCATTTCCACCTGAATACCTTGCCTGAATCATAAATTCATTAGATTACTTCCTTTATTTTAGGAAATAAATTCTCTAGTGTTTAATCTTAATCTGTGAGTCTTAGCAATCAATAATAAACTTCTGTTGACATGAGGAAATATTTTGGTGTGACATTAAAACATTTTGCCCATGGTATATATAGGAAGTGTTACAATGCTTAAGAAAGTAAGAAGTGATGAGTTAAGCTCGAATTTTGTTTAAAAAAAAAAAATCACATTTGCTAACTTATTCCTCATGATACTAAGTGATATTGAGAATTGGCTGTAAAATAATAATTTTCTTGCTATTTTAAGCGTTCATATCTTTTAACACTGAGCTATGACCCTAAAGAGAGATGATCTTCACCAAAAATATTTGCTCTCAAATGAAAATTTAACATCTCACTATTTTATCAATGATCATCAATGCAAAATATATCTAGGCAAATGATAGTTTGTGCTAACTTCTATTTGATTTGCAAAACAAATAACTAAGACATTTATCAAAAAAAAATAAGAATAATCTCTATCATTCCATCAATTCAATCAAGGCAGGTTAAATTAAAAAGTCAAAAGGATTATGTAGTTTATTGATTTCCTTAGGCTATGTAAAAATAAATGTGGGCCTGTATTTTTCTTACCATGAAACAAAATATTGAACTCTGCCCTTGAGGTATACTACCATACTTCAAATGCTGATCTTATCTTTGCTTGCAAGTCAAACAGAGTTGGACTTTAAAAGGAAAAAAGGAAAACCCTGGAGCCACTAAGAAGCATTAAGGGTCAAGCTGTTAGTCTGGTTCTGCTCAGAATTTACCGAGGATCACAATGTCTGGGTAAGGGTCACTTTGCTTCCAGATGACATTTTTCAATACAAACACACAACCAGAATTTGAAATAAACTATAAAAAGAGCCGTATTCTGAAATTGGTTTCCTATTTTACTTGGCATCTTATTTGTTTTAATTTGGAAGAGGAAATGGCAGAATTTACCCCATGTTTCTGCAATTTGAATTCTGTATGCAATAATAAATAATCATAATAAATTATAAAATAATGATAAAAATTGGAAATTGGTAAAGAGTTAGATGAGAGATTTTCTAATGTATTTAAATAAGGGTCATGTCCCTTCTATGTTCCTGGATGCTCATTTTGTAATAAATTGTGAAATGTATTCATCAATTTTAAGTGGGAGTTAAAAGCTTCTTAAACAATGCAGACGGCAGAGAATAATCTTAATTAATATTTAATTAACTTTTAAATTTAATATTAACCAATTAATAATAATTTAATATTTAATTAATATTTAAATTTTTTTGCTTGCTCACTTTCTTGGATGACTCACTCCTTTAAATTGATCTCTTGCTTCTTTTTGAAAGATGTCAGAACTTCCTGTCTTTGACTCCTGGAGACAGACACCGCTCAGTAGGCTTCATGAAGGAGAATCTGGCATCTCCCAGCCATGCCTATGTATAGAGTTTGTGCTGCATCCTGGAAAATAGCTGTAACTGTATCAAGCAAGGATCAAAATCCTGGTCTGGAGGACCTCAAGCTCAAAGCACAAAGGGTTAAAAGGATAGGCACTTCTTACTGAAATTACTCCCATAGACACCTTCTAGCTTCAATTTAGACTGAAATGTAGAACAGCATTAACAGTTTCTTGTATTTCTCTCTTTTCCAAATTCAAAATCTCTTGCAGCAGGAAAAGGGCAATCTATTACTCCAATTCTATGTTCCTGTTAACAATCAGATTTGTATTACTGGAGAAAAAAAAATCATCCCAAATAAAACATTCTGACCATGATTGCTTAGAAGCCAATCCGAAAATGGTTAGGTTTAAATTATAAGGGGTCTTTTTTAAGGGGGGAGGGGAGTTGATAGAAAACTTTTTAGAAGGGAATCTACACGCTAATGAAACCAAACAAACACAAGGGGGCAGGAAGAGCTCAAGCTTTGACTTCAAAACCTGCTGGCTGACAGACGATCTAAACTATTTTAGCGTGCCCTCCGGATATTTATCAATTTTCGTGGCATGCAAAGAAATGTGATGCTGACAAGTGGGTTTAGTTTGTGCTTGGTCTAATTACTATGAAGAGAAGAAGAGCGTCTCTAATGACAGCTACGCTAACAGAGGCGGATTTGGGAGAGCCTGGGGCCGCATTCCCTAGAATTTATTCTTTGGTGCAAGACTAGCGATTCTGATCAGACTTCATTTCTCACGCATTCCAAATGCCCTTTATTCCTTTTACTCGGTGAACCTCGGTTGCAAAGGAGGAGCTTGTTAAACACTCACCAATCGGAGGACTGCGCCCATTGTAATTTACGAGGAGAAGGCAGCTTGGGGGCGCGCCGAAGGGGGCTGGGCTGGAGTGCAAGCTGCTCTAGCTATGGCTTTTAATTCCAGCTGTTCTTTTGCAAATATGGCGCAGAATTTCTCAAACGCTCTGTGTTTAGCTTCAAACTCAAACAGCATTGAGTCTAACTTTCCCCTGGGTTTGCAAGTTTCTGTGAGAAATGACCATGCCCTGCGCGGGATTTCATTGAATAGGGAGGAGGAGTCGGGGTGGCTAAAATGGGTAACCCTCGGTCGCAGGCAGATGAAGTGAATTCAGCACAGCAGTGCGTTCCGGCTCCTCTGCAGGAGTCCCAGATCTATTAATAGCAGCCCAGACCCAAGCACCAGCAAGGGTGGGCAACTCCGGGCCACTTCTCCCCTCACTTCCTAGACAACCTGTTGCGCCTCTATCTCCTCCCCTCCTCACAGTTTCCCCGCCTCGGCCTCTAAGAGCTGATTGGCAGAAATTACTACCCAACCCTCAGCTCCGCGCCTCCTCCCCCGAGCAGCGATTGGCCTCCTGGGAGGACTGGAGCAAGGGGGCGCAAGGGGAGGGATTTCCCTCAAAGCTCAGGGTCTGGGGACCTGGAAAGCAGAAGTGGAGGGATTCAATTCTCCGCGCGACTAAGTCGCAGCGGCGGAGCTGGACCGGCTGGGACGGCTTAGGCTCCTCCGCTGAGGCTCCAGCCAAGACCGCGCCGCTCAACTTTGCCATCCTTCTGGCCCAGCCCCAGCCACAGGAGGACCCCGCAGGCAGCGCGCGGAGTTCCTGGCACTTTCAGACGGTGTCTCTCGTTGTCTGCCCGGGGACTGACTTCGCATGCTCTCAGGCTGACCTGTCCAAGCCTGAACACCCGGACCATGCACGCAGCCGGGACTCCCGGGTTATCCTCGCGCGGGACAGGCAACTCCACCAGCTTTCAACCAGGACTGCCGCCGCCGCCTCGGCTGCTGCTACTGCTGTTGCTGCTTCTCCTGTCACTGGTAAGCCGCGTCCCGGCACAGCCCGCTGCCTTCGGCGGGGCGTTGCTGTCCCCTGGTCTCGTGGGGGCTGCAGGGGTCCCTGCTGAGGAGGCCACAGTGCTGGCGAACCGCGGACTCCGGGTGCCTTTCGGCCGTGAAGTCTGGCTGGATCCCCTGCGTGACCTGGTGTTGCAGGTGCAGCCCGGGGACCGCTGCGCGGTTTCGGTGCTAGACAACGACGCACTGGCCCAGCGACCCGGCCGCCTGAGTCCCAAGCGCTTCCCTTGCGACTTTGGCCCTGGCGAGGTGCGCTACTCGCACCTGGGCGCGCGCAGCCCGTCTCGGGACCGCGTCCGGCTGCAGCTGCGCTACGACGCGCCCGGAGGGGCGGTAGTGCTACCACTGGTGCTGGAGGTGGAGGTGGTCTTCACCCAGCTGGAGGTTGTGACTCGGAACTTGCCTCTGGTCGTGGAAGAACTGCTGGGGACCAGCAATGTCTTGGATGCGCGGAGCCTGGAGTTCGCCTACCAGCCCGAGACAGAGGTGTGTCGCGTGGGCATCCTGTCTGGCTTGGGCGCGCTGCCTCGCTATGGAGAGCTCCTTCACTACCCGCAGGTCCCTGGAGGAGCCAGAGAGGGAGGCGCCCTGGAGCCTGTCCTGATGGACTGCAAAGCTTTCCAGGAGTTAGGGGTGCGCTACCGCCACACGGCAGCCAGTCGCTCACCAAACAGGGACTGGATACCCATGATGGTGGAGCTGCGTTCGCGAGGGGCTCCTGTGGGCAGCCCTGCTTTGAAACGCGAGCACTTCCAGGTGCTGGTGAGGATCCGAGGAGGGGCCGAGAACACTGCACCCAAGCCCAGTTTTGTGGCCATGATGATGATGGAGGTGGACCAGTTTGTACTGACAGCCCTGACCCCAGACATGCTGGCAGCCGAGGATGCCGAGTCTCCCCCAGACCTGTTGATCTTCAACCTCACCTCTCCATTCCAGCCTGGCCAGGGCTACTTGGTAAGCACCGATGATCGCAGCCTGCCCCTTTCCTCCTTCACCCAGAGGGATCTGCGCCTCCTAAAGATTGCCTATCAGCCCCCCTCTGAAGACTCCGACCAGGAGCGTCTCTTTGAACTGGAATTGGAGGTAGTGGATCCAGAAGGAGCAGCTTCAGACCCTTTTGCCTTCATGGTAGTGGTGAAGCCCATGAACACAATGGCTCCGGTGGTCACCCGGAATACTGGGCTTATTCTCTATGAGGGTCAGTCTCGACCCCTCACAGGCCCTGCAGGCAGTGGTCCGCAAAACTTGGTCATCAGCGATGAGGATGACCTAGAAGCAGTGCGGCTGGAAGTGGTGGCTGGGCTCCGGCATGGTCACCTTGTCATTCTGGGTGCTTCCAGGGGCAGCTCTGCTCCCAAGAGCTTTACAGTGGCTGAGCTGGCAGCTGGCCAGGTGGTCTACCAGCATGATGACAGAGATGGCTCACTGAGTGATAACCTGGTGCTTCGCATGGTGGATGGAGGAGGCAGGCACCAGGTACAATTTCTGTTTCCCATCACCTTAGTGCCTGTGGATGACCAGCCACCTGTCCTCAATGCCAACACGGGGCTGACACTGGCAGAGGGTGAAACAGTGCCCATCCTGCCCCTTTCCCTGAGTGCAACTGACATGGATTCAGATGATTCTCTGCTCCTTTTTGTGCTGGAATCACCCTTCTTAACTACTGGGCATCTGCTTCTCCGCCAAACTCACCCTCCCCATGAGGAACAGGAGCTTCTCAGGGGCCTTTGGAGGAAGCAGGGAGCATTTTATGAGCGAACAGTGACAGAGTGGCAGCAGCAGGACATAACAGAGGGCAGGCTGTTCTATAGACACTCCGGGCCCCATAGTCCTGGGCCAGTCACAGACCAGTTCACATTTAGAGTCCAGGATAACCATGACCCTCCTAATCAGTCTGGGCTACAGCGGTTTGTGATACGTATCCATCCTGTGGATCGCCTCCCTCCAGAGCTGGGCAGTGGCTGTCCCCTTCGTATGGTGGTACAGGAATCCCAGCTCACACCACTAAGGAAGAAGTGGCTGCGCTACACTGACCTAGACACAGATGACCGAGAACTACGTTACACAGTGACTCAGCCCCCCACAGACACAGATGAAAACCACTTGCCAGCCCCACTGGGTACCTTGGTCCTGACTGACAACCCCTCAGTCGTGGTGACCCATTTTACCCAAGCCCAGATCAACCATCATAAAATTGCTTACAGACCCCCGGGTCAAGAACTGGGCGTGGCTACTCGAGTGGCCCAGTTCCAGTTCCAGGTGGAAGACCGAGCTGGGAATGTGGCTGCAGGCACATTTACCGTTTACTTGCAGCCCGTGGACAACCAGCCACCTGAGATCCTCAACACTGGCTTCACTGTTCAGGGGAAGGGTCAACACATCCTGAGTGAGACAGAGTTGCATGTGAATGATGTAGACACTGATGTCGCCCATATATCTTTCACTCTCACACAGGCACCCAAACATGGCCACATGAGAGTGTCTGGACAGATCCTGCATGTAGGGGGTCTCTTCCACTTGGAGGACATAAAACTGGGCCGAGTTTCCTATGCCCACAATGGGGACAAGTCCCTAACCGATAGCTGCTCCTTGGAAGTCAGCGACAGACATCATGTGGTGCCCATCACTCTCAGAGTGAATGTCCGGCCAGTGGACGATGAGGTGCCGGTACTGAGCCATCCTACTGGCACACTGGAGTCCTATCTAGATGTCTTAGAAAATGGGGCTACTGAAATCACTGCCAATGTTATTAAGGGGACCAGTGAGGAAACTGTTGACTTGATGTTGACTTTTCTCTTGGAAGATCCACCTTTGTATGGGGAAATCTTGGTCAGTGGCATTCCAGCAGAGCAGTTTACTCAAAGGGACATCTTAGAGGGCTCCGTTGTATATGCCCACACCAGTGGTGAGATAGGCCTTTTGCCTAAAGCAGATTCTTTTAACCTGAGTCTGTCAGATAGGTCTCAAGAATGGAGAATTGGTGGCAATACTATCCAAAGAGTTACTATATGGGTGACTATCTTGCCTGTCGATAGCCACGCTCCAGAAATCTCTGTAGGTGAACAGTTTATGGTAATGGAAGGTGATAAAAGTGCTATAACATCGTTGCATATAAGTGCTGAAGATATTGATTCCCTGAATGATGACATCTTGTGCACTATAGTTATTCAACCTACTTCAGGTTATGTTGAGAACATATCTCCAGCACCAGGCTCTGAGAAATCAAGAGCAGGGATTGCAATAAGTGCTTTTAATTTGAAAGATCTCAGGCAGGGCCACATAAACTACGTCCAGAGTGTCCATAAAGGGGTGGAACCTGTAGAGGACCGATTTATATTTCGTTGTTCTGATGGCATTAACTTTTCAGAGAGACAGTTCTTCCCCATTGTAATCATTCCCACCAACGATGAACAGCCAGAGATGTTTATGAGAGAATTTATGGTGATGGAAGGCATGAGTCTGGTCATCGATACACCCATTCTCAATGCTGCTGATGCTGATGTTCCCCTGGATGATTTAACTTTCACTATTACCCAATTCCCCACTCATGGTCACATTATGAATCAGCTGATAAATGGCACGGTGTTGGTCAAAAGCTTCACCTTGGACCAGATCATAGAGAGTTCCAGCATTATTTATGAGCATGATGACTCTGAGACTCAGGAAGACAGTGCTGTGATTAAACTAACAGATGGGAAGCACTCTGTGGAAAAGATGGTCCTCATTATGGTTATCCCTGTTGATGATGAGACACCCAGAATGGCTATCAATAATGGACTAGAAATAGAAATTGGGGAAACCAAGATCATCAACAACAAAATATTAATGGCAACAGATTTAGATTCAGAAGACAAATCTTTGGTTTATATTATTCGTTATGGGCCAGGACACGGCTTATTACAGAGACGAAAACCTAGTGGTGCCTTTGAAAATATCACACTGGGCATGAATTTTACCCAGGATCAAGTAGACAGAAATTTAATTCAGTATGTCCATTTGGGGCAAGAAGGCATTCGGGACCTAATTAAATTTGATGTGACTGATGGAATAAATGCCCTCATAGATCGTTACTTTTATGTGTCCATCGGGAGCATTGACATTGTCTTCCCTGATGTCATAAGTAAGGGAGTGTCCTTGAAAGAAGGTGGCAAGGTCACTCTCACAACAGACCTACTAAGCACTAGTGACTTGAACAGTCCTGATGAAAACTTGGTTTTTACCATCACCAGGGCTCCCATGAGAGGTCACCTGGAGTGCACAGATCAGCCTGGAGTGTCCATCACATCTTTCACTCAGCTGCAACTGGCTGGAAACAAAATCCACTACATCCACACAGCTGATGATGAAGTGAAGATGGACAGTTTTGAGTTTCAAGTCACTGATGGACATAACCCTGTCTTTCGGACATTCCGTATCTCCATTAGTGATGTGGACAATAAAAAGCCAGTGATCACCATCCACAACCTGGTCGTCAGTGAAAGTGAACATAAGCTGATTACTCCCTTTGAACTTACTGTGGAAGACAGAGACACTCCTGACAGGCTCCTGAAATTCACTATCACTCAGGTGCCTATTCATGGCCATCTCCTATTCAACAATACCAGACCTGCCATGGTTTTTACCAAGCAAGACTTGAATGAAAACTTAATCAGCTACAAACATGATGGTACCGAGTCAAGTGAAGATAGCTTCTCCTTCACAGTGACTGATGGCACCCATACAGACTTCTACGTTTTTCCCAATACCGTATTTGAAACAAGGAGACCCCAAGTGATGAAGATCCAGGTCTTAGCTGTTGACAACAGTGTCCCCCAAATCACAGTGAATAAGGGGGCCTCTACACTTCGCACTCTAGCCACTGGCCACTTGGGGTTCATGATCACCAGCAAAATATTGAAAGTGGAGGACAGAGACAGCCTACACGTTTCTCTGAGGTTTATTGTGACAGAGGCCCCTCAACATGGATATCTCCTCAACCTGGACAAAGGCAACCACAGCATCACTCAGTTTACCCAAGGTATGTTTCATGTTTCTTTTCTCAGTTATCAAAGGACATTCCAGGTCTCATTCCAGAGAATATGGCTTCACTGAAAGCCTTATAAATACAGCATCAAATTAGAGTCCTAGAGAAGGGAATGGAACAAACGGGATGGGGAGAACACAGGGACTCACTTCCCTGGGAGAACAGCTACCTTCTTGTCCTACTTTCCATCACAGTGACCTTCATTAGAGGGAGTACTGATGTATTTTGAAAGTGGCAAGATATGCTGCTGAAACAGGAGACGGATTTTGGTGAATTAAGAAGCAGGCTTTCCAATTCTGTTCCATTTGCCATACCCATCCTCTGAGCATCCTCTGTGTTGTATGCTGCAGGTGGTTCATGAAGCATTTTGGCACCTTAATGAAAGATGTGCTTTCTAAATTCTGTTCAGTCACATTGCTGTCATTATCAATTACCTTTCCAAAAAAGCCTTTAAACTTATGTTTCTTTGATTAAATTTTAAGAGCATTGTTCTGACACAGTTATGGTTGTTAGGAACTTTGTTACTAATAGATTTGTTTATGTTTATTTACTTTGTAGATTTTTTAATTTTTTAGTAATATTTTATGACTCAGGCAAATACCCGTCCAGAGACTTAAGCCATAAACACCTATCTGGAGTAATAACAATGATGTGTACAGGGCATGCTACTATGATATACATGAAAAAAGAAAGTATACTTAAAGATGTAGAAAATGACAATATGTTCATCACTAAAACATACATCTAATTCATTATTAAGAACATGAATATATGTAAACAAGATTAATGGTAAAGGAGGGAAATTATTTTAGCATTGTGAACCTCCTCTCTGACCTCTTGCAAACACAGCAACAAAAAACAGTTACCTCAGGCACCGGCATTCTTTAGGCAACAGGGTTTTTCTAACCTGAATTGCCTTTGTGGTGGACACAGTCTGAAGCAGGAAGGACAAGTGACCTATGCAGAGTTATTTAGAGAGGGAAGGGAGAAGCCCATTCACTACGCTGACTTGGGAGTCAGGGCTCTGTTTGGTAGAACATGCAACTTTCATTACAACAAGATTTGGGTTCCTTTCATGAAAATCTCACCATGTCAGAATGGAAACTAGATCTTTCCTATGTGGGATCTGTGGGTTAAAGATGGAGCTTAACCCCAGGGCATCCCAACGGGGGTGTTCTTTTTCTGCAACTGTGTTATGGCCTTAGATAACAAATGCTTTAATAAACATGGATGTAGCAAAATGTAGTGTTACAGTGAACTACTTCTTTGTTTTGGGTGCTGACAAATAGCGCCACACTCCAACCTCCTGATTCTTGGCTTAAGAGCCTGAATGTATCCCAGGGCCTGCAGGGACAGGAAAACCTCAAAGTGCCAAGTGTCATGCTAGACCAGTAGGAAACTTTTACATGAAGGCTTTCTGGGGCTAGTGGTGCCATGCCGTCTTACGCTGGTTTATTTTCATGGAAAGGGAAGAGAATGAAAGGAATATATTAGATGATAGAAAATAGTCCTTCAAATTACTCCTCTGACCTGAAAAAGAAATCTGATTTTAGAGATTTTTTAAAAAGACTATTTTGATGAAGACAGGCAAATGACTTAATTTAAGTTCTGTGGACTAAGTCCAACAGCTCAAAATATTAGAACACTATTTCTGAAGTTGTGAACTCTAAACATTATTCTATTTCTTTATAGGCAGTTGTTCAGTCTCTTACTGACTTTGAGGCACCATGGTTAATATTTAACATCTTTATAAATGTAAAGAAGTTATGCTTATTATGTGATTTGACTTTTCAAGAATTACCTTTTTTCACATTCCAATACAAACCAAAATATTGACTAGGGAAGTTGTTGGTATTTAATCACACAGCACTCATTTGAACAAGTCAAGACTGGAGTTTGAGTCATAGGTGTTATTTATGGAGATTAGGCGAGTGGTTTAAAAAATGGAGAAAGCGCCATCAGAAAACTTCTATGGCTCTTCTTCCAGTAGGAGAAATGAAAGCAGTGCTTACAGTGCAGTCCTTTTTTATTTGTTTTTGTTTTTACTTAATCATAGAAGGATAAGGTAAACTTATATTTTGATGGATTTTCAATGTACTGAATTAGGTCAATTTAGCACAGGTGGCCAGAGAAGGTTATTCCTAAATTGATTAAGTGGATCCTAGGAGAAAAAAAAATAATTCCTTTCTAAAACTTACCAAATTGATGAAACGTTTACAATGTATAATTAAATAAATTATGGATATCATTTATTTATTCCAAACTTCACCTCTTTGCCAAGTTGCTCCTGTTGCCCCCAACCCAGATCTAAATCGCATGTCTCAAGTACTTAGTTTTTTCTTCCCTACAGTTAGTACATAATGACATATTCTGTGGATTAATTCATAAATCAGTTTCAGAAGAGCAGAAATGTCTTCAAAGAGTTTGAACCAGATATGGTTGCCTGGCATTTAATGAACTGAGAATTAAAAACAAACAAACAAAAAAATCTCATGGAATGATTTTGTAGATGAACTAAAATGAATTTAATGTATGTTTAACAACTAGAAGAAAATCTAGATAATTCTTAGATGTTTGCTTAAAAAAAAAAAGATAACATTTTGGCTATTAGATTATCATTCTACTACTCATGTGTCTTAAGAAAGCTAGACATTATATATATTTATACTATGTTTATGTTATATGTAGAAGTACCAGTATTATGATGAAAGTCTTTACTTACTTTTTTGAATCGTGAATTATTGATACATTATATGAAAAATTTAAAGGTTTTAGTATGTTCCAACTAATCAATAACACCTGCCCTAACTTGGAGAGAAAATTGGGTATGTGAGTGCCATATAGTTTCATTTATGTTCTCTTTATCTTAAAAAAAAATGTTCTTAAAATTCAGTTTTGAAGTGAGGATTTATTTCAATGAAACTATCCCTTAACAATTATATTTTTGCTTAAGAAAACATTGCCACAGATGCTAGGCGTGCTAAACAGTTCCTTTTCTCCTAGCAGGGCCTTTAGATTTTCTTATACAATTTGGAGGGGTGAGGACATTGAAAGAGGGTCTTCCCCCACATGGCCAGAGGTCATGGTTCTTACAGTAAAGATGTGTAGTGAGCAGAGTTTACTGCATGATTTTACTGATAAAGTGAAGGTTATAAAATTAAGAATTATAAGAGTAAACAGGCAAAGAGTTGTACAGGGTCTTCAGTCCTTACCCTGGCAGAAACATCCTTCATGCAAAAGTAGATATGCAAGGGTGATCTAATCCACTGGGAAACATAACCATACAGAAAGATAAAAGTGAAACTAGGCAGCAAGTGTGGAAAGTTGTAGTAGGGTTAGAAATGAGGGGCCTGGCTCAGTGGCTCACAGCTGTAATCTTAGAGCACTTTGGGAAACAGAGGTGGGAGGACTGCTAAGGCTAGCCTGGGCAACATAGTGAGACCCCATCTCTATATTAAATATTGTTTTTTAAAAAAGAAATTAAGTACTAAGGGAGAATCAAACATCTTAGGCATGTTTTACCTCCAAATACCTCTATTAGCAAGAAGGTACCATTAAGTGTAAAATCAGATTTTCCCTTCTGCAAGTGTTCTCTTTTGAAACTTTATGAGCCAGGGTAGAGCACACATTTTACATCTGTAAAGTGGAGCTATAGAAATTTATGAGGCCATTGGTCCATCCTAATACCTTGCCTCACTTGAGATTAACATTTCATAAAGCCATTGTCTTCCGTATAAGCCTCTGAATTTCATAGCATGAACTTAGTAGAGCTTTTAGGAGATGGAAAAACCATGGAACACACATTAGACAGGTAGATATTACCTATCATTGTCATAGCTATTTTTAGCCATGATCTTGACTTTTTGTAGCCTTAGAAACTCACTGATTGGACCAGATCAATTGATGATCTACTATAAATATCACAGGACAAAATTATATATATATATATATATATATATATATTTATTTATTTATTTATATATACACACATATATATTTATATATATGTATATATATACACACACATATATATATTTATATGACTCCATCTTGGAGAAAAAATTATATATATATATAAAATATATATATATTTTATATACACATATATATATATCTGTCACCCAAGCTGGAGTGCAGTGGCTCAATCTCGGCTCACTGCAACCTCTACCTGTGAGGTTCAAGTGGTTCTCCTTTCTCAGCCTCCTGAGTAGCTGGGCCTACAGGCGTGCCCCACCATGCCTGGCTAATTTTTGTATTTTTAATAGAGACAGGGTTTCACTATGTTGGCCAGGCTGGTCTTGACCTCCTGACCTCCTGATCTACCCAGCTCAGCCTCCCAAAGTTCTGGGATTACAGCTGTGAGTCACCAAACCCAGGGATAATTTTCTTTATTATGTTGTATGTATGGCATCATTAAGGAAAGGAACTGGTAAGATGGATGCATAAGTTTTAAAAATTATGTCTTAGTAATGAAAACAAATGTATGCATGTGAATTTGATAGAGTAGAAAACAACATAAGGAACATTTCTGAGATGATATAGCTTTCTGCTAGGAATAAAGCTTTCCAATTTTTTTTTTTTTTTTTTGAGACAGGGTCTTACTCTCTCGCCCAGACTGGAGTGCAGTGGTGCAACCTCAGCTCACTGCAACCTCTGCCTCCCAGGCTCAAGTGATTCTCTGGTCTCAACCTTCCAAGTAGCTGAGATTATAGGCACACACCACTATCACGTGGCTAATTCTTGTCAGAGACAGCATTTCACCATGTTGGCCAGGCTAGTCTTGAACTCCTGACCTCATATGATCCAGCTGCCGTAGCCTACCAAAGTGCTGGGATGACAGGCATGAGCCACTGTGTCCGGCCGGCTTCCACTTGTATTAGATGTGTCTGTTTTTTTTTTTTTTTTTCTCAACAGGGAGTCATCAGTTATTTCAATGTGTGTGATTTTTTGAAAATATCACCTTCATTTTTTCTCTCAAACTTTGGAGACGAAAAAATACCCTGCTACAGCACAAAAAGTAAGAAAAATTAGCCAGTGTCGAGAAGCAAAGCCTCTGTCCTCTGCAAACCAGTTCTTTACAGGGAGGCAAAGGGTGTGATTTCAAGAGTGCCAGGAAATCTGCCATGCCTCAAAATATCTTCCTTTCCACCTGTCATGGTGCCTGGCATTCCATATTTAGAAAGTCATTCCTTTGGTGAATGAACATGCAAATACCACTGGGAGGGGCAACACCTTGCTATTATTATAAACTCTTGTACTCTATTTATCTGTGTAAGGGATCAGGTTTCCATGGGACAGCTGAAATCTAGGGGCTTAGAGATCTGAGAAATAAGATAGCACTGTTTCTCTTAGGAGGAAAAAGGAATTTAAACATGTTTATAGGAAAACCAGTAGCCAATAAAATTTACCATAATTAGTCATCAATTTTACTCTGTTAATTAATCATCTTGTTTTTGGTTATTTTCTAGCTGACATTGATGACATGAAAATATGCTATGTCTTAAGAGGTGGGGCTGATGCCACAAGCGATATGTTCTATTTTGCAGTTGAAGATGGTGGTAAGTATTCCACTCTCCTAGTAGTGACAGCAAGGAGAGAGACTTTTCTTGGTCGCTCTTTGATGATGTTATTTCAAGAAGTCTTTATTAAGTAATACGATCACCTGAATTTAACCTGGTATTTGCTGTAGACAATTTTACAGTCTCACTATGGCACAACTCTCTTATGTAAAGGCTATAGATAAAAGTTCTAGTTATATTACTTTTGTCTTATTATTTGTAAAGCACTAAAGAGAGAAATCAGTATAAATAGAATCTCCATGTCTAGTTGTTCAGATTACTCCCTGCATGAGGCTGCCTACTTGAGTCGGTAAGAGGATGTTGGAATTCAGCCGCTGCTCCACTCATAGCCACATGCTCCTTGACGTATACAAAATGGTATATAAAATGCGGCCCAAAGGAGCTGCATTTTCCTAATTCACTCGTGGGTGCTGTGTGAACTCATACTGATGGATAATGTGTTGCATTCACCAAGAAATTAGTAGTAAATTAATGTCTGTTTTATCTCACCAATCTCAGAATTTTTAATGATTTTCTTGTTTTGGGGATTTTGTGACCTAGTCCTGCTAAAAGTTTTTCTGAGCTAATTCTCCTGGGCAATATTATGCTCTTACTCCCACAGAACTGCCTGCCACTTACACTCCCTTCAGGTCAGATCTCTTGTCTTTCTAACTCTGTGGATGAGGAGAAAAACTGGTCACTGTCAGATTGCTCATAAAGATGATTTTGTTCTTGCCTGTTTTCATGGGAAGCAAAAGAACCTCCCCAAGTACACGTGTTGTGTGAACAGGACACCTGAACTGAGGGTATATGTGAGAGAGAAGAGAGAGAGAGGAGAAAAATAATTCATATGCTGTTACCTGTTTCCTTATGATGCTTTTTAAAAATGGCACACTATTATGTCATCTATCTCAAAAAGACTCCATCCTTACCCTCCATGTTTTTGGAAGCATTACGTAGGATTTGTTTAAAATATCACTGGACACAACATGATCATAGTTCTGAAAAATGACAATTGTTGAGTGTGTGCCAGAGAGGCAAAAAAAATGTGTTAACTTGGGTTTAACTGTTTGATTCCTACTGTAAATCAGAGTCAATCATGTTAATGCCTTTACTTTTTTGAGTAACCAAATCATAGTTTAGTGTTCTATGTATTGATAAAAGGAATACTAGCATAAAACTGAGCTCTAAAAAGGAAATCAACTCATAAAAAAAATCTTGAACCTTGCAGCATGAATCTTGCTGCTCAAATGAGTAATTCTATTGTAAATAAACTTTAGAGTGAGATCCTGAAACAATCCAAATCTGTGTAACATACATAAAAATTTAAGGACAAAATTAGTGGTTTAAGACACCATGTTTATCTCTTAGAATGACTGAATAAACCTCAATAGCAAAGTGTGACTTTCTGTAAGATTACAAACAAAAGTTTCAAGTTCATTGGCTATAATTACTCTAAAATATTATATCCTATACTTTTTAATAAAATATTTTGCTTTTTTGCTCATACGCGCACATACACATTATTTTACCTTAGCTGGGTGGAATGGTAGCATTTACTTTAAAATTGTGGTCTCTATTCCAATTTTGGAAAATACTCTATAGTATCATATTTCAAAATATTAAGTGAAGAATGACTAGCTGAAGAGGCTGGGTTTATGTTTATATTTGCTGAAAATGTGGCAAGGCCTCTAAAGATTGTCTTTATGGAAGTAGGAACATAATCACCTTAGGAGCCTTTTTAGAGAGAGAGTTTCATGTGAGAGATAAAAATTTCAGATTTTCTTTTTTACCCTCTTTCTCTTTACTGGCAGAGCATTACCTATGGGGCTCAGGCAGATTTTGGCAAGCTGTTGAACAGAATTTACCTTAATTCCCCTGATATAAGAAAACTACCCTTTGACAGAATAAACACAGAGACCTGAAAGATTAAAAATTCACATTTGTATCTCTCAATTGTTTTAACCTGATTCTTAATTTTTTAAGGATTTTTGTATTCCCTTATAAATGTTCTAATGTTTGAATGAGAAGTGCAATACTATTTAAACTTAATTAGCTGTAGTAATCTATTGTCATCTACTCTATACAGTGATAGCTGGCATTTCTATAAGTCATCCCAATTAAATATGAAATGCATGAATATTTCACCCCTGGAAAGCAAGTCAAGGCACAATGGTGTAAAATTGAGAACTCCCTATGTCCAGTTTGCTTTCCAATCTGATAAATTCACCTTGTTCAAATCAACGTGATTGGTTTTACGACAGTAACTGTCTAAGGAAATCAGTGGGGCAAACATAATCCTTGAATAACCTGAAAAATAAAACATAATTCAATTTAAGGGATTTAGAATAGGAGAAGAGATTGAGAAGAACAGAAGCCTCAGACCTCTTGTTTCAGATTTAATTGTGTTACCATGGGAATCTTGCTGGCCACAGGATTCTTCTGTTACCATATGGCAATGGATTAGTGACCATCCATTACTAAAGTGACTATGCTTGGGACAGAGTTACTACTTTTGAAGTTTTGGAGTGCTTGGGGACTTTTACCAAATAACAGAATTAAAGAGAACACTATCTGAGCAATAGATAACATCAGGGTCTTTACCTCAGGGGAAGTCTACCGTATTTGGACTCAGTACATGTTGGTTGATATAGCACATGTCCACAACATGCACAGATCCTTATATCTTAGGGTTTTTTCAATTAGATTTTATACCTTCTATGTTATTTATTGTTACTTACGTGATTCTTGCCTTCATATCATCCCTGTGAGCAATATAAACAACAACAACAAAATTATGATTTCTATTTGCCAGATGAGGAAACTGAATCACCAAAATAAGTAACTGTCCTTCAAGCTGCACAACGGGGCAGCTAGAGGCTGCTTTCAATCCCAAATTCTTTCCTCAAACAACAGTAAGCAATAACTTCCACACTTATTCAGATAGGTATAAGAGGGGGGAGTTCTTGAACTTCTCTGGGTTCTGCAGACCGACTTTCTAGGAATGTTTAATAGATGAGAGTGAAGTCAGAGTGGGATCTGCTTTTCTAAGAGACAAAAAACTTCGTGTCTTCTAAAGCATGGATTTTTATTTTAAAATACTTTAAAAGTTGTAGTGCCCTAAACTTTGTAGTACTCTTTCTTGGTATCATAGTGTAATTCCTTTTTAAAAAACACTTTTGGCCAGGCGTGGTGTCTCACGCCTGTAATCCCAGCACTTTGAGAGGCCAAGGCGGGCGGATCACAAGGTCAAGAGATCGAGACCATCCTGGCCAACATGGTGAAACCTCGTCTCTACTAAAAATACAAAAAAAATTAGCTGGGCATGGTGGCATACGCCTGTAGTCCCAGCTACTCGGGAGGCTGAGGCAGGAGAATTGCTTGAACCCAGGAGACGGAGTTTGCAGTGAGCCAAGGTCACACCACTGCACTCCAGCCTGGTGCCTGGTGACAGAGTGAGACTGTGTCTCAAAAATAAATAAATAAAATAAATAATAAAAATAAAAAAACACTTTTGTTTTGGGTTCAGAGGTACATATGCAAGTTTGTTATATAGGTAAAGTCATTTCAAGAGGGCTTGTTGAACAGATTATTTGTGACCCAGGTACTAAGCCTAGTACACAATAGTTATTTTGTTTTGTAATTTTTAAAGTATTTTATAATGCAATGTGTTTATTGGAATATTAATAAAGAGCAAGAAATTGTGATGTCAGAATAGGGCACTCGTGCAGGTACTCTGGGCCAGTCAACGTATGTGAATGCATCATTACAAAGTATAAGGTCAAGTTTTGAAGTTCAGGAACATATTCCCGCTAACTGTGGCTTCACCTAATGAGCTCATGTATATATGTAGCAATTGCCTATGGATTTAGCTAAACTGTCTTCCATTTCTTTTTGCTTTCATGCTTTATATCTTCATGAAGGTAACTGATAATACAGACCTGGGAAATACATCTTCCTTTGTTGATTGCCTCTTTGAATTCTAATTCCAGATCTATCTAGTACCCTGGAATTTTGTTGGGGGGAAAGAAAACATTTATTATTTATTTTTTTGGTAGTCAACCATTTTTATCTGATTCCTTCTCAGTGTTCAACTCTCTGTAATTTTCCTATAAGGTCTAACATGAAAGTGCTTTGTCGAGCCCTTCTAGCTCTTTATTGTGTTGTGAAAGCTGGTCTCACATAACTATTCCAGGTATGCCCCACCCTCAGCCCTAATGACTGTTAATCACTCTTCATCACCAGGCTCAAATATCATTTCCTCTCCAAAGCTGCTCCCAACATCACAGTGACAAAGTCTCACTCTGCTTTATGCTTTTATTCCCAACTTTATTTACAGTAAAAATTCATATTATCATTATTTACTAATGCAAAAGCCTTCATTAATAAGGAAGAAACTTCTTCATATCAAAAAAGTTATCATTAATCTTTGTACCTCAGTGCCTACCCAAGGTTGAGCACAAGATAAATACTTACCGAATATTAAAATGAATAAACAGGAGAAAAACAATTGCTCTCTTTTGACACAAAAATCAATTAAACAGTATGATAAGAGAAACTCCTATAAACAATTCCCAGTAGACCCTTTGCATTCCTTTAGATATAGGAATTGCCCTATCCTAGCATTAATTTAAATCCCTATGGCACCAAGAAAGTTTTTTAGGAAAGCTTTCACATTTTTAAACATATGAAATTAACTAAATCAACTGCTGTGAAAATTCCATTGAAATCTTCAGTGAAATGCACTTAAGATTGAAGTATTAACCACCAGTTCAGAGCTCATATTATTCTTAAAGAAGCCTTTTCAGAAGAAAAAAAAAAAAAAAACTGGTAAGTTTATTATTAAAGAATTATACAATTTAAAATCTAAAAGGAAATAGACATTTTCTATAAGTCACTGAAATTTTAAAGCCAGCAGCACCATGACTGTATTTCAGTTACTCCAGTATTTTCTTCTGTGGTATGAGGTAACATTAGGACAGGTGGAAAAGTAGAAGACA